TGCAGGCGATCTGGTGCTTCAAACCATTGCACATCAACTCCAAGAAGCACAGCAGGCCGCCAATGATGAAGGCCATCTCCAGTACAAAGACTGGCTCAAGCAAGGAGAGGCCAAAGGGCTCAAAGGACTCTTTCGCAGTCTCAAAAGCAGTGAACTTGCCTGGGAGCGACCCTACAGAAACCTCCCACCGGATGAACGGATCACGCAAAGGCTCCAAGACTGGGGTAAGCTTTGGCACATCAGGCAAACAGGGCAGCCACACGAGCGACCCAGTCTCCAACAACAGGCCAGACAACAAGCACAACAATTGGAACCCCTCACAATTGGCCACCTCGCCTCGGTACTCAAACACCTCCCGGATAAGGCATGCGGACCTGATGCAGTGTCAGCCCAACTGCTCCGCACGGCACCCCCGTTGGCGCTTGGGCCTCTTCTCAAGCTCTTCCAAGACATGGAGCAACAGGCACAGCTGCCAACGCAACAACAGATGCACATGGTCATCATGCTGCCAAAGACCAGCACCAAGGAGCGGCCCATCACGCTCACCTCCCTGCTGTACCGTGTGTGGTGCAGACTCAGGAAACCAGTGCTCGACCAATGGCAAAAACAGCTGCCCCCCACAATGCAACATGACAGAGCCAGACCGGGCGCCCAAGTTTTACACGTGGCTTTGGAGAGGCTCCTCCGCCAAGAGGTCCACAAGGCCAATGGATGTCATGGAGTCACCTGCTTAATGGACATGAGCACTTTCTACGACACCATCAACCTCACCAGACTCCAACAGGAGGCACTCCGCCTCGACTACCCACCCCTGATGTTGGAGATGGCCATGCAGCTGTACACGGGGCCCAAAGCCATCCTTGCGGAGCAGGAAATGACCCCATTTTTCACCGTCCAAAATGGAGTCCCAGCTGGATGCCCCCAAGCACCCTTGCTGGCCAAGGCCGTGTTGGCACCGGCGCTCCAACCATGGCAGATCCAACACCCGGAGGTGCACCTCTCAAGCTGGGTTGATGATGTAGGCTTTGACACGGCTGGACGCTCGCCTATGGCTGTTGCACAGAAGGCAGTCAATGCCTACAGAGACATGCATCGTCGACTTGTTGAGCTTGGCCTCAAAGTCAACCCACAGAAAACAGCATTCATTGCAACAGATCGCAGCACCGACAAAGCACTGCGGGAGATACTCCAGCCAGATGAGCCGCCAGTTGAGACAGTCATGAGGGACCTTGGAGTAGACCATCAAGGGGCCAGGCGAAGAAGAATCCCGGTGATGAAACACAGACTGGCCAAAGCACACAAACGCAAGGTCAAGCTTTGCACCTTGAGAATTCCTACTCTGAAGATTCGACTGCGCCTTCATCGTGGAGGAGTGCAACCCGCAGCCCTATGGGGAGTCGAAGGCCAAGGCCTTGCCCCCCGATACCGACAGGCCTTGAGACAAGCCATGGCCAAGCATCTGGGGCACCATTCCGGCGGCCTGCTGGACAGCACCTATGATCTCCATCAGAAGAAATACATCGATCCGGCAGACCAAGTCATCATCCACCACCTCAAGGCCATCCATTGCCTCATACACGCCTGGCCCACCGAACAAATGGCAGCCCTTGAGCAAGCCTGGGAAACCACCTTCCACCAGCTACATGCCAAGCAATACCCGTGGTACACCGTCCGTGGACCCATGGCAGCGGCCATAACATACCTCAAGGAGTGGGGATGGCAGGCCAACAACCTGATGAGATGGACGAGGGTGGAGACGCCACTCATGCTCAGCAATGAAGTTGACATGCGCCAGCCCTGGTGGAAGGTTGAGAAGATCCTTTTGTTGGAAGCCAAAAACCAGCGCACCAACCGAATAGCCAGCCGACCCTTCCACCACCACCTCATCACAGGCATTGATTGGCACACATATCATGCAGTCAAGAAGACTCTATCCACTCAGCACAAGCACCACCTCAACACTTGGATCCAAGCAGCAGTCCAATTTCGGGAAGCAACCAAGGTCAAGCAATGCCCACTATGCCAAGTTGAGGCCACGCCCAAGCACATCCTCTGGCTTTGCAAATGGCATAAATCTCAAAAGCACGAAGCCATGCCGCCAGAATGGATGGAACGGATCACATCCAAGGAAGAAGAACCTTTGTGGTCCACTGGCTGGATTCCCTTGGAGCCCCAGGAGCACAAACAACAGGAACACCAGAACCAAGGACACGGGTGTTGGGCAGACCTGGGGACGATAGCACCCACACCGTACAGCGGATGGGCCTACACCCTCGATGCTACACCGTCCACCTATGATGACAGAACACAGCTCTGGGTGTTTGGACTCTGCGCACACACCATGGCCCTCGGCCAACTCAAGCGCTTGGGAGCGATCACTGGCGTTCCCACAGGCGATCAAACTAAAGCCAGGGCATTACTGGCAGGAGTGGTCGCCCTAGCCAAGCACACCACCACACCGGCTACCGTGATTGTCCAGATAGCCACCGTGTGGGAGGCTTGGCACCAACCCCGCAGCAGACCACCCTTCCAGGACATCCTGGAAGACATCACAGACCAGGATTACAGCCGCATCTCTGTGCTGTATATTCCAAAGCAAACTCGCACACCAGACGCACCCGGCAATGAACCCCAGCTCAGAAAGAGGCAGAGAGATTCCGCACTGGCGGCATGGGAGCGCTCCAAACAATTCCAGAATCCCAAGCAAGATGAATGGCAGGAAATCCTGGATGCAGACCACCGCCAGATCTACCGCCATGCGATCCAAAGGCTGGCCAAGATCTATGAAGACCCACAACATTACATCCACCAGAAAGCCCCCAAACATCAAGGCAAACACACCAAGAACTACAAGAGGGACTTGGTGAAGCAGTGTGCCCATAAATGGGCCGACAATCATCACAGATGGGAGCCACACCGCAGCGGGTACCAGTGCACAGCGTGTGGAGCCAGAATGCACCAAGGCCTGACCAAAGACATACTGGAAACCCGCCTCCAGGAAGACTGCCCGCAGGTCAAGCTAGCGGATATCTACAGTCAGCCGGCCAAAGAAGAACCACTGACCAAGAAACCCACAAGGGCTCAACTCATCAAAGACATCCTCCACAGGCAACACCAGCAGCCACCAGCACCGGAGGAACACAAATATGCTGAAACCACGGGCTACCTCAAATGCCTGAAATGTGGGGTCAACACCCACAAAAGGGTCAATGAAGAGGCATTCCAGACTTTCCTGGCATCTCCATGCATCGATCGACCCTTCTCCCAGCCAACACAAGCACACCCCAGTCACTCCCTCTGGCAGAAGGGAGAAAGAGTCCGATGCATCCAATGTGGAGCAACCTGGAACCTGGATGGCGAGCAGCGCATCATCACCAACCAGATCCTCTCCAAAGTCTGCAAAGGCGCGGGCACCAAAGGATCACCACCGCTCAGTGACTTCTTCAAAAAGAAGGAACCCTCCAACAGCTCAAGCACACCACCTGACCTACCAGCACCGGCAGCCACAGCAGCTCAGCCTACTCCGAGGAGGCTAAGCTTTCAGACTGCCTTGGATGCCAAGGAGCAAGAGGAAGAAAACACCACCAGCAGATCTGCTTCGGCCATGAACCCCAGCCCAACGGCAGACGCAGGGTCCGACTCTCCTGACGACCTTCCTGGCCTTGCTGTCGAGTACTTCTGATGAAGGAATCATGAACGAGCACCTCTGAGCCAACTTAGGCCGTCATGAGCCCGCTTCGGCCTAAAGCCCCACACATTGGCCAACACGGCCTGAGAACTCAGCAACTATAGTAAAAAAAATACATACATACATACATACATACATATACATACAGTTTTGTATATTATAAGTAATACACTCATAGATATATTACAGAGACAGACATTTGTTGAACCAGAGCTATGCGCATAATCATAGTGTGGCCTGTCGATGAAGCAACCCCCCGAAGCCTGGAGATGTACCATTCTGGTGGAGAGTTCATATACAATCAACAGTCCACATGATATTCTCCTGCTTCGGAGCAACAGAGGACCAACATTTTACGCAAACCTCCATATGGTTCAGACATCAGTCAGCTGTTTCTATGGACACGAATTCTCCTGGTTTGGAGCCAGCTCTGACTCCAAAACCTCAGGAGGTGGGTGATTCCTGCCAACGACTCCCGGAAGATCTGGTGCGACTGCCCGGGCAAGACGACTTGCGGTGCTGGTGGAAAGCGATCTAGATCGAACGGTCCGGCCGGTGGAATGACTTCGATCGAACGGCTTGAGCTGCATTGGGCAAGCCATTCACATCCTGATCCTCCAAATGCGCAAATTTGGACATTAACATATAGGGTAGATCATGTTGACACATGTTGACTTTTTATATATAGCCCCTTCCCTAAGAATGCTTTTACATCTCCAGTTCATCGAAAGGCGACATTAGATTCCCGCCGAGATTTCTTGGCGAGAGATGCCAGTCTACACAAGCGGATGACCAATCATTTCATCCCTTCCCACTTCCCGCTTCCTGATGGAGATCGGCACCAATTCACTATATAGTTGGTATCTCATGGTATCTCTTCCTTTCAGTGGGGTCATGTTGATGAATTTTTGAAGAAGCTGCTGTGATCACCGTCATTGCCCCTTTGGTCCGGGTCATTTCTGCCGCATATTTCTCAGACATGCTCAAGCGATAGATAGACCCACAGAACCACTTCTTGAGGGACAAAGAGAATTGTCCCACTGATTCAGACCTAGCAAGAAGCACTTTTGTCGAATTGTTTTGTTCTCCCTCTTTACGCCATCCCAAAATGTATGTTCGGACACCTTGATTGATGTGTTCCCAAGCACTGCAAGAGCACTATGCCACCCAACATGTGTGTGTGTTTTTTCAATGGGCTGCGAGGGAATCTCAACTTGGAAAAGGAGAATCAACCACCAACCGACTAGTTTCTACGAGCCAACCAGACCAACCAGACGATCCGAGATCGCAATCAACCCACCAACCCGCTCGACACAGGGCCTTGCCAACAGAGGCCCTATGTCGACACAGGGCTACCTCACCGCTGCGCAAACGTGTCGTTTCCCATGGTGCCAGCCTCACGGCAAGAGCGGCTGCGGCAGCGGCTCCTTGCAAGGCAGCTTTGTGTGGAGGAGAACATGTCCAACAGGCGTTGCAAATCTATTTGCTATCTTTAGATTGTGAGTTCTAAACACGGGCAGAGATGAAATGCCACTAAGTGTTCACCCTGACCACGAAGGCGGCTGAAGAAGAAGGAGAAGAAGAAGGAAGAAGAAGACATAAGGAGGAAGAAGAACAAATAGAACGTAATAGAATGTAATAGAACAATACAGGAAGAAGGCATCTTTGCAATTTTCCTCTCCGTGTCTAAGTTGTTCTTTAACAAAACATTGCCGCAGTCTCACAACTGAGGGTCCTTACTCTTCTCATTGGGAAGTCACATGAAGTCACAGTCCTTTTCTGTGCCATTACCCATGACTGATCAATGACCCCCGAGTTGGGATGGAAGGTTTGAAGAACAGGCTTCCATTTTTTTGATCACCCTGCCCTTCTTTTTGACCACTCCATTTTTTCTGACCCCCTAAACTGTTTAATTGGACCCCTGACCCTTTCTTTTTGACCCCCATCCATCGATCTTTTTTGATCCACAACCATGGGAAGACTAGAAAATAGTTTATTTGCAGTTAGACCGAGGCTTCTGAGGGCTTCTGAGGGTATGCCACCGCATGGTAGTATGCGAAGAGACGTCGCTGAGGCGAGTGGCATGACTGGAATGTTGCGGAAGTGGTTTTGCAAGCGAGCTATCGCTCGGCTTTGTCTTGTGGCGTCTTGGGGTTGCTAGAAAGAGCCGCGATTTGGGAATGAAGGTGTGCTCTACAATCTGTGTTGGAATGCTGTCTGGACGTATGGAAGGACAGACGACACCACCTTGCTTAACTGCAACAGCTTCCCGAGACAAGAGTTGGAGTGATGGGCTCTTGTTGCATTTGAAAATATCTGTGGATGTATGGCTCCGGTTCTGAGGAGCGAAGCTAGAATGCAAACGAAGTTGCTGCTCAGAGAGCAAAGCTAGTGGCGCTTTGGGTCACGGTGTGGCAATGCGCCCAAGTAGGTATGGTGGTGCACAATCGTTACGTACTTAAGTTTTCGGATGCAAAGAGTGGACGATACTTGGGCGCTGGTCACTGACATTCACAGATGTCCAGTATCTAAGGAAGAAAGAAGGAATGCGCAGCATTACGTTGAAGCCACTGCCATAAAGACAGAAGCAAATTTGCAGATGTTCGAGGTGTCAGGCTACCCGAGACTTCGGGTTGCCAAGGCAAGGCGTGTAAGAGGTTGTTGAAAGTTTCCGGGTAACACAGACACACGTGGAGAAAGACTGCTGTGAACAGACTGCCTGATGCGAAGCGTTGAGCGCTAACTTGGGTGAAGTGTGGTTCCGGCAACCTTTCTACAGTGAATGTGCGGTTCCAACATAGCAGATCTTTTGTTCGGGGCCCGAGGGTAGAATTTTGGAAAGGAAGGTTGCACTCCAAGCTATCAGACCGAGGGAGCCACCCGAGGGTAAATTCAGAGACTTGAAAAATTGAAGATGAAGGTTCGTTCTAATGTAGCAACGTGCATGTATTCGCAAGTGAGTCGCTGCGTGCGAAAATGACTCATGTGGGCGCAAGTGGGTTAACTTTGGTGTGCGCAAGTGAGGTTTGTGACATGGCCCCTTCATAATTAAGTAGGCGGGGTTTATGGCGTGGGAGAATGTGTGGCAAGCCGTGCAAAGTACGGAGTCTCGTATCATTTCTGAAACTCACCTGGCGCGACGTGAAGGGAGAGCGACTTTCGCTGCAGTACCCCGTTTGGAGAAGTATGGTGGGGTGTGATGGAAACGAACTTTGGGTCATTCAGTGAGGTTATTAGTCGCGCGTTGCCACAAAGGGAAGGTTTGCAACTGGAGGCGCCACACGAGAGTGCAAAGGAAGTTGACGCACAAAGGCGGAAGCTACCTGTGCTTGGTTGCAGCCCTGTATCGTAGGGCATCGCGAAACATTTTTGGACGCCCCAAGCCCTCCGCAAACCTGTGGCTGCCGGAAGCTTGCATCAACTTGGTTGACCGAGTTTGCATCAGCGCTGACTTGGTCGGATAATTCCTGCTTCTTTGCGCCGTGTCGGGGGCTTTAGCAACATGTATTGACAAATGAATTTTGCGCGGCAATTTGAGTAATCCATCCTTTAGCCAAGGTGTTTTCAGCACTCTTCCGCGTGCATCCGGCCAGTCACTCAGTCGGACTTGTGCAGAGAGCGTCTTTGTTCATGTGCCCTTTAGAGTCTTCAATGATTCACACATCATGGAGGTGCCGGAGAAGCACCAGATGCTGATGGAGGCCGGCCTTTCATGAACCCTTTGCGAAAATTGTACGTGTCGGATTCTCAAAGATCGTGCGCGTCAAGGTCTCAAATGTGCGGTTTTGTTCCAAAATGTGTAACTGTCGTCAAAGTTGAAGGTGGAAACTGCCAAAGAGTGTAACTCTAACTGTCGTCGGACATGGAGACGGAAACTGGAAGTTGCCAGAGGGTGCAACTGTCGCCGAAAAAACGCGGCGTGGGATCCTTTTCTAAAATCTAAAAACCCTCACCTGACAGGTGGGGAAGAAGGCGTTGGTGGTCAGAAAGAGCGTAGGGGGTCAAAAACATGGTGGAGGTCAAAAAAGAACGGCGGTGGGTCACAAAAAAGGGAAGGTTGTAAAGGCACGGTTGTGGGTCAATAAAGGAATCCCTTTGAAGAACTCCCTAGATCATATCCCAAGTCTGAAGACCGTGTGGTCCGGCCTTTGCAAGAGGCCACTGAAGGTTCTCGCAGCCCCATCCAGGCCTCCTTCAGCCTCTGCAGCTCCAAAGCGGCCCAAGCTTGAGGCGAAGTGGAGCAGGGAAATGCGATCAAAAAAATTTTCACGGGCGGATGGAGAAAGGACTCACATATCAAGTGAAGAACCGGTTTTGTGAGCATGTAGTTACATGTTGTTTTGAACATCTTGTGTTGTTCTTGCTGACAAATCATGAAGCCAATTTTCCAATACCAACAAACGACAAGTATTTCAGACGCTGACGCGTTTTCATCGTCCCAACTCATCCACATCTCAGAAAAACATCAATCTCTTTGAAATTTTTTGAAGATCCCCGACCCATGCCCAGCAAGTTCACGCCAGAAACATTCGCATAGCAATCACAACTTGCACCAACATTGCTCCACCCCAACATCCATGCTGAAACAAATCCGTTTGCGAAACAACCTCATTCATTGGCATGGCAGTCGCAAAAAACTATTTTTGCTGCGATTGCAGGGGGATTTCCTTGTTGACCGTTGATCAACCAACCCTCCCTGTGCAGGAGACTGGAACTCCAGCGCCGGAGGCCGAGCGGATGATCCATGACTTGCACGAATCAACACATCTCACATGACCTGAGAAGACTCCAATCCATAAATGCATATAAATCATTATAAATCCTGAATGTTTTCACAGATGCAGGTGGGTATGTTTCAAATTAAGGGAGGGCGGTTTTTTTTTTTTGCGTGTGAGTGGTTTTTTGCACCTGAGATGTGGGCAACCGGGTCAGAATCTGGCCCTTGGGGCAAAGCATAATCTGAGCATATCTCAGCTGCGATGGTCTTGTCATTCGTGGATTCAAATCTGTGATGCTTGTGAAATCCAAAAAAGATACTTGAGGATGTTTCTCTAGCAGTGTCCCCTTTTACTGGGGAACTTTTCCGGGGTGAACGTCCGTCCAAGACCTTTGTGTTTCCTCTTCCTCCGGTCTGGCCCTCCGGTCCTCGTCGCTGAAGGAGGCGGAGGCCTCTGAGTTCCTGGCGGCGGTGAAGCGACGGCTGATGGAGTGGGGCCAGGCTGGGAGGAAGGAGTTGCTGGGTGGTCGAGTGGTTGGGATCTCTGATACCACCTTGGATTTCGTGCAAGAGGGAGGGATCATGGGACTTAGACATAGACTGGTGGTGAAATTCAGAGGCTTGTAGCTTGAAAACTAGGGGTGTACAGTGTATAGTATTGTGTTGAGGCTTCGAAAGAGAGCTTAGTGAGTACACGTGCTGGTGAGTGTGTGAGAGCAGGTCGCGTAAATGGTAGACCTTCTAGGTTTATGTTTGCATCACTCACTATTGGGCCTCGGTGGTTGGAATTGACATTCTGGACTTCCTGACGTGTTATGCCGCTATTTAATTAATGATTCCTGGTCATTTTAAAGCACCTTATACTGACTGATCACACCGTTTTAGGCACAATTACTTCTCGGAACCGGCCCTCAACACCCTTCCAACATTCACAAACACGCGCGTGATCAAAGCTTTAGGTCCTTGACACAAATCAACGAACCACGGCACCGGCTTTGATTCGTCTTAGGGAACTCCGCTTCTGCTGTTGATCAAAGAACTCTTGACCAAGCCCAGACTCTATGTATGTCCCCTACTCGGTGCTTTTCCGATAGAACATGTCGACCCACAGATGATCTCGATCTCACATCCGTCCTTCAGGACATCCGTCGGATCTCTCGCCAGGAAGAGCAGTACCACCGCTTGGTGGTGGCTTTGAGTGGACCGATGGATGTGAAGTTGCCAGGTCAAAAGGGATGACCAGCTGGTTGGCGTTCTTGTCTCTTACAGCGACCAGCTGGACCGTTGAAACACCAGCTGACCACTCCAGTGAACTACTACAGCGTCTGGGAACGCTCGTCTCAGTCGCTTGCAAGGTTCCTGAGTTCACCCCCAAGACAGGTTCCTGAGAAATGAGAAAGAGGCTGGATCCAGGTTGCGTGTGGCGTTCTTTGATTCATGTTGGACTGGGGAAAGAGATTCAGTGCGGGAGACATAGCAATATCCTTTCGCTGCAAGGAGTGTGATTATGAAGAAGGCTGCCTGACATTTGGCTCTGTGCGCCAACTAGTCCTAACATCTCCCAGTGCTTTTTGCCGTGTTGATTTAGACGCATTGCACTCTCTTTCAAGTCTCAGAAACTCGAAGATGTTGCACATGCCCTTGGCACGTTGACTTTTCATCCCCACACCTTGCAAATATATACCCTTTGGTGGCAAGTCATAGAGGATGCACCACCCACACCTGTTGATGCAAAAAAGACACCTGTACCAGCAGGATACACAAAGACCCTTGGCAAATCCATCGCCCCAACAAGTCAAAGACACTCAGGGCCGACACTAATCCATCGTAAACGGTCCGCTCCTTCCTCAAGGAGGGACGCCCTCCCAGCACGGTTCACCTGGTCGACGACCTGCCGAGGTTGGTCGTGCAACTTCTGCAGGGCCATGAGGACCTCCTGACCGTCTTCCGGCGGCGCTTTGCACCCGCCACGTGGTGCCAGGGCTTGGCGGACTCAGTGAAGGAGGACGTTTTTGGTGCAGGTGGTTGGGCTTGGGGGAGTCCGATGAGAGGGGGACTGTGGGACATCCTTCTCACCTTTTCTTCTTTCCTTTTCCATCATCCTGGAGTAGCAAAAGGGTGTCGAAGGCCTCAGGCGTTGACGGAGCCATTCCAGCCACTTCAAGCCACTTGGGGCAAGGAGGACGGGCCCTTCATGGCCCCTCCGGTGGATTCGCAGGATTCACCAGGCGCTTCGCGCGCGCGCGAACTCGCCGCCTCGCGGGTCCACGACGAGAGGCACAGCTGGCTGAAGGATCACATGCTGCGAGCGCTCACACGTTCCAAGCGATTACATGTTGCGTTGCGCCTGAAAACGAAGTTCTTATGTGGTAAAGCAACAGGCGATCGACTAGCATAGATCTCTGTAATAGCATACATCTCATGGACTTGGGGTGTGCATAGGGGCATAGAGTTAATAGTGCCGTGTGTGTCACCAAAAGGGGAGACCTGGCATTTACACTGCTGGAAGAACATGTTCCTTCTTTTGCATACCTCCAATTCTCAGGTCTTCCAAGTTCTTCCCAGCGAAAATGTAGAAGAGAAAGACACCCCTGCTGAAGGGCTCTCATTTTTACATATTCCCGAACTATCCATGTGCCCTGTCTGTGGGTGTGCGGCACGTCGGTGGTGCCAGATGACCTCCCTCGGCCACCAGCATTCCCTCCTGGGCAACACGATGCTGATGAGGAACCGCAGGGAACCGCTGTTTCTAGCTGTTTGGTGTGAGTGTCTGACCAAACTGGCAACCTGATGACTGGACTCTTCTTTGATTGAGATCTAAAGTCTAAAGTTGTCTATATAAAGGATCCATTTCCTGTTGGAGCCTGGAAATCGTGTGGAATCGTACTTCCAAACCAACCAAAGGACTTTAGTGGGGGCATAGAGTACCTAATGGAGATCACTGCCATGGGCGCCACTTTTGGTGATGTCACTCCACTTGTTTTCGTGAGATGTCTCTCCCAGCATTTCCAAAACCGAGAGCCACAGGAGGAGCTGCTTCACGAAGCAGCCATAGCTGCTGCCATCCAACACGGACCCCAGGCTTGCATCAGACAGTTGGTCCATCGGCACGCAGTTAGGCGTGGGCGGACCAAGGGCACATCCTTCTTGTGGACCTGGACCCTGATCGCCCACCGTGAAATAACCACATGCAGGTCATTCTTGAAATGAGGCACCAACCCCTCTTGTCATGCTTGGTATGGATGGACAAGATTCGCTGGAGAAGGCAAGCTTGGAGGGATGACCATCGATTTAATGTAGACTCTTGATTAATGACCCCCCCCCGATTTAGATGGAAAGGGCATCTTCATATGGGGGGTTTATTAATCAAGAGTCTACATTGTCTACATTACTAAGCTATTTTGATGTAACATACCAAGGGTATGTCACGCTCTACACCCAAAAGTCACAGGGCTCATGCCCTCACCAAGGGGTCATGAACAACTACCAACCAGGGTGTGTATACATGCCACCTAGTGTGGGATGGCCCACATGACGAACTTGCTGTCTGTGTTCATGCACACCTTTTCCGAACTGACCTGTGGTATGGCAGGGGCAATTCGGCCCAAGCTGGCACATAGCGTCGTCTCTTTTTTGTAGTGACCTCCTAGACAGAAAGTGATCCAAGTTGAATCCTGTGTGACATACCAGGACAAATGGTTCACCTGAAAAGTCCTTTTGTGTGGGATTGGATCTTCCACTGAAAGCCAAATCCAGGTGGAACGTTCGCACCTCATGATGTTCCACCCCAAAACTGCCCCGGCTCCGGAGTCGAATTGACGCTCACCTAAAAAATGATAACAACAGTTCATTGAGTTTTTGTTTTTAAATAGAAATATGATAAAACCAGATTTTTAATATGGTTGATTTCTTCATTTTAATCAACCATATCAAAATCAAAGCAGTCAAAGCATCATTACCTCATTCAATTTACAAAATCAAAGCAGTCAAAGCATCATTACCTTATTCAATTTACAAAATCAAAGCAGTCAAAGCATCATTACCTCATTCGTTTTTTATCAAATCCTATCTACTGACCATTGCCTAAATTTCTTTGATGCTTATTTGTTTTAAGATGTCTTGAGTAACATTGTTGCCTTATTGAACAATTACAAACAGAACAAGTAGTGGTTTTTAGATTAGTTTTATGGTTTTGTTCCAGTTTATTTTTGCTATATTCTTCATCTTCTTCATATCTTTCTCTTTGTGCTTCATTTACGTTATCTCTATGTTTATCACGGTTTGCTCTTTTATATTCTAAGCATTTTTTTTACAAGTTTTAAACCCATCTTCAAAATTATCAATAGGTAAATCCTTGACACAATATCTACAAAATCTCTCCATCAAAATATCAGATCTCATTGTCTTAAATGTATTTCCAAAGAATTCTTATCAAACACTTCCCAGAAAAACAGAGCAACAAACCAACAATACAAAGAACAGAACAATAGACTATAATAAAGACAAATTCTAAGAACAAAACATATAATTCACATACGAACTACTTTGCAAGGTCAGTAGATAGGATTTGATAAACATGAATGAGGTAATGATGCTTTGACTGCTTTGACTTTATAAATTGAATAAGGTAATGATGCTTTGACTGCTTTGATTTTGTAAATTGAATGAGGTAATGATGCTTTGACTGCTTTGATTTTGATATGGTTGATTAAAATGAAGAAATCAACCATATTACTGCAAACATTTGGTTTTATCCTGTTTCATTCTATTTTCAAAAACTTCACTGAACTGTTGTTTTTATCATTTTTTCACCTGGCCCCAGGTGCACCTGCTGGGTCGACACACGGAGAGCACCGCGGCGTTCCCGCCGTCGCTGCAGCGCGGCTCGGAGGAGAATTCTCCGGAGAGAAAGGGGTCGATGTGCCAAGGGAGATTTGGGACCGAGATGGAAGTTGCAAGAAGCTGAAGACTTCCCATTTCTTAACTTCTTGCAACTTCAATTTAGGTCCCATTCAACGACCCACATTCCATTTGAAGAAGTTGAAGTTGCAAGAATCAATGGGGGGTTCCCTTCTTGTTCGATCTGTGTCTTTTTCCACAATCCAACCGCGCCCTATGTGGACAATCCTTACAAACATAGTTTTTGAAAAAGCACCTGGAACCCACATTACCCTTTTGAAAGGTATACCATCCACCCCACATTTTTGCTTTTAGATTCCCCTTAGGGATCGCTCTCTGCTTGCGGCCCTGGACCGATCCACTGCAGGCTTCGCCTCCCAAGTGAGCCGTTCGGCGCGGGAGAAAGCTCCGGAGCTGGTGATTTTGTCCCCTGGTCCGGAGGGGACACGGAGGTGTTGAAGGGCGACCGGAAGGAAGGCCTTTCTTTCTTTTTTGGGGGGGGGTGGATCGGGTATTGGTAGAACGGTGGTTTTCCAATGTTTGGTGGACCCTTTTGACATTGCGTGAAGCGGTTTTTTTTCATTTTCCCGGTGCATCCCGATGGGACGTCTGCAAAGAGCGGACGTTGAGAGCGATATTTGCTTCGTTCCTTTCACGTAGAAGGGTGATGTTTGGTGTTTGGTGAGGTGTTGTTAATGGTGATTGTAACGGATGTCTTCTCTTAATATAGGGTGACCTTTATCAATCGATTTCGGGTGATAGTGATAGCACTGGAACCACAAGGTTTCGGCCCGTGATCCCTAATGAGGCTCCACTGCACTGGTGGGCAAGTTTCATGGTGAACAGCAGAGTGTGATGTTTCGTGAGATTTGGTGCACCTTTGTGAGATCTTTCCCGCCCAGCAGAGACCAGCACTTCATTCAAAGGTTCCGACTTGCTTGCTAAAGTCACACAAAGAGGCAAGCATTTAAACATATGACCATTTGCGCTAGCCTTCCAGTTGGGCAGTTTATTCAGAACATTGGAACATCCGAAAGCTTACTGTACATCCATATATTATACATATGTACTAAACCCTCCAGAATGGTCACTTTTGTCAGGATGAACTAACAACGCCCGGCCTCATTGAGGCGCGGCTTGCCGGGGATTGGGAAGAGTGCATATGCGCTGGAGACTTTGCCGCTCGGGTTGAGACGTGAACGCACAAATCGTGTCCCGCTCGGTGTTCAAGCTGAACAAAACAGGACGCGGGCGAAAGAAGGAAAAGACGCTGCGAAAGAAAAATCACCCTGGGCAGCCACGACTCCTGTCTCTCCTTGTCTGGAACCACTGCCATCTCTCCGCCACCGGTCGTGTCGCCGCAAGAAGAGGCGCTCGATGAGACCCTTTGAAGCGGAAGAAGAGGCGCTGGCGCAGATGGTGCACATCTGTGCGCAGGAGGAGTTCCTGAAAGCCTATCGAGGTCAGCTGCTTGCGATGCATTTTCTTTTCTTTTTCTTCTGATCAGAGCAGCTTCACACATTTCGCAGGTTTCATGGGTTGGAGTGAGACTGAAAACAAACACACGCCGTACTAGTGACGAATGGGTCATTTCTCAATGCTTTTCGTGGAAGAGAGAGAGAGAGAGAGATAGGAGTTTGTACTGAAGCACTTCAGCTTGACTTACTCAATGCGCATGAACTCCCGTCTTGGCAAGGGGAAGTTGCAAAACAACTACTGTACTGTATATAGAAGTTGCGTTCCACAGCAGACAGCCAAGTGTGCCTGACAATGGTGCTCCCTGTGTATACACCAAGATTACACCCGGAGGACAAGGCCCTGGGATGGCCATGTAGATCAGAACACGAAGGCCTTGTAGAGAACCCTGAGCTGACGCGGATGCTGGGTCAAAGCTAAGCAATTTCCGGCAGTGATCAATCATGCACGGGATACTGATTGACCCAAATGGATCTCTGATCGGAGCAACCTCAGAATACTGGTAGGTAGATGAAGACTTTCGACATTGGCTTTCTTGCTGAGCGGGACAGACCCCCAAACAAGAAAGGAAGGTCTTGTTCCCAGGGTCTGCGTATCTTTCAGTCACTTGAGGGTCATCAAGGAACAGATGCTCAAACGGTAACGGCAACGGTTTTCTGTTCCGCGTCTCGTTCTGCCAGACACCGACTTCCTTTTCACGGACCGGGTTTTGGAGCGGACCGGGGGCCCTCCACGCGTCACGCGGAACAACGAGGTGAAGAAGCTCAACTGGAGAAAGCATTGCAACGCAACGAGCTTCGAGCGCTTTTGGCCATGGAAGCCCAGATTGATCCAGCACCCTGGAGGCAGCAGAGTCAGCGGAATGGAGCGGAATGGGGATGGGCAAGCCTTTCAGTTGTTTGTACTCTCAACCTGCTATATAGTAGCTGTACAGTATATCTGGTAGCTGATGACAAGTCCTGTTCCACCGCTTTGAAGGTAGCCAAGGGGCCGCTTGACCTGGACTGGCCTGGTATCCGATGGTCCGAGACCGAAATTTCATCCTCCTACTCTGCTGCAGGGTGATTGCAGCGGAAAGTTAGGAGACTTCAGAAAGAACGTCGGTTACCGTCGGTTCCTTCTTTCGTTCCAATGAGCCCTTGGCAGGGAATGAATGATAACCTTTCCTGCCTCCCGTCTCCCATGCTGGTCTCAAGCTCCTATGATCCGGTCCAACCATTGCACGCTGTTCTCCAGTAGTTCACACCAAAGTAGCTCGTGCTTCATGAACGTTCGTCTGAGTTTTGATCCGCATGCGTGCCATTTCATATCTACAACCTGAGTGAATTCACCAACAACTGGCTTGACTGGCTCACAACAGGGCGATCGATCTCTGACTCTTTGAGGTCTTCATCGATTGCCCGAACCTTCGTCTCTGGGAGACTCGAAGTTCGAAGCGCTTATTGGGTGGGCTTCTTCTCCCTTCGTTCCTGGCTGGGTGAAACTTTTGGAGGGAATAGACAGAGAGAGACAGAGGGAGAGAGAGAGAGAGCGAGCGGCCATTCCTTTTTGCATTGCGAGCTTATCGCGGCCCGCTATTTCTCTATCAGCCAGCCAGCCGGCCGGCCGGCTGGCCAAGAACCACGGTCCAGCTGGCCGGCCTACTACTACTACCACTACTACCACTACTACTACTACTACTACAACTACTACTACTACATGGCCGGCCGCTATTTGGCCAGCTGGCCGGCCGGCTGCCGGCGAAATAGCAGGCCGGGTTGCCCGCGCTGTCCCTGTTTGGTACATACTCAACAAGAGGTTCTTGACGAAGCCCAGTCACTGCGACTCCTGAAGAGCAGGCTTCGTGACAATAAGAGGTCTCGGAAAGAATGAGACCGCTTCGGAAATCCGAAGAGTCGAACGTATTTTCGTCGATATAAAGAGGGACCCATTTTGGTATATACCCTTTGATTTGCTGGAGGTATTCAGGAGCTTTCCCTGCTGTTAGCGTTTCATGTGGCCTGCGGACAGTGGGATGACATACTGTCACTGAAATTCCAGCGTTTATTTTTTCTGGAACAATAGAGTTTGGCTTATATAATCCTGAACTGGGTGTTTGAGTGTCTCCAAATGTTGGATTCAACTCCACAATTCAACTCTTCCAAGGCGTCTTCCAGCTAATCAAAACGTCTCCCAAGGTTTTGATGGCAATTGTCGAACGTCCATTCTTTTCGAAGGTTCGAAGGACCCAAGGCACCCCAAAAAGAGACACTCTGTCCTGGTGGCGAGAGTGTCCGGGTTTGTGGACCTACTGTCCTGTCGTGTGGTCCGTGGTGGACGTGCGACCCCATGCCGGACTTCAGACCCCATGCCGCATCGGTGCCAACAGAAGTAGTGCCGACTCCGTGGGGGTTCCTCTTTTAGGTCAAACACCATTTCAGCTTTACTGAGGAGATGAAACCTTACTTGCTGCTGGCTGAGCGCTTGGGCTACGAAGTGCATGTGGTTGAGCCCTGGGAGATCTGTACAAAGCATCTGGGACCGGATCCAAGAGCCTGGAAGATAGATGATGGCGCCATCTGTAAAGACGATGAGGCTTTCAAACCAAGACATTCAGATCTTATTAAGATCTCTACAGTCTGGAGCAGTCGTTGTGCAGTATGGAGGGGCCTGAGTTGCGTGAACGATTTTTTTGGAGATCAGACAAAGCTGGGACAGTGTGAGCAAATCCCATAGCTTCCGATTGCACGAGTTGCCTGACTTTGTGCACTTTCCGGCTGGTTCGCTTGATTTGTTTGGGTCTGGGCCTTGGTCCTCATCGTTTAGGGTTGCCCATCTCCAGGTAAGCTGCCTGGAAACTGTATTCTGCATATTCAGCTCTTCTAGCTGGTGCGACAAGTCAATTGAAGCAGTCTTTCAGGGTCACAGTCACGGTATGTCACGGTCTAGCTCAGCAGAGTAGTGTTTGCTTGGTGTTTGACTCGAACACCATCGAACACCGCGGCCCATGAGAGATTATGATCTTCAGTATCTTGCCCCGACCATACAACTCAGGATCACGCATTTGTTTAAACAAGAACACCTTCCCCAACTGGCTACAGTTCCTTGCGGATCAGTTCAGATCCAATCCACACCGAGGCATTCAGATCTGGGCTTCTTGTCCAGCGTGCATCGGACAGCTGCGCGCAGAGAAAGGAGGACCATGCTGAGCCCGCGACAGCTGCAGGGCTTCCTGAAGGCCTTTGAGACCTGGCGACAGCTAGAGAGGGATCAATGAGAAGTGTTTTCGTGCTTTTTAGTTCTGAAGTCTTCTGAAGTTGTCAAGTGGTAGTTAGTAGTTGCCCCTGTTTTGTGTACTGTTGCTGCTGCTGCTGCTGCTGCTGCTGGTGGTGCTGGTGGTGCTGGTGCTGGTGCTATCAGTTGTTTCCATATTTTTTAAACTATAGTTACTGCAATGATCTCTCTCTCTCTCTCTCTCTTGTATTTTCCCTGCATGGCACATGAAACAATGGTTTCATCACTGGCGATCTGATGCAAGGAAGCCTTGCCGACCGATGAGCCATTGGAGGCCGTTGAACAGAGGGATGTGGATGACCGCCTGGATTTGTACCGAGAACAGGTGCAATGGGTCCAGCTATTTTGGGAGATTTGTTATGGTCTGTTTTTATTTGGTTTCCGTAGGCTGACGTGACTTGGGTCTATGCCTGCCTCCTCAGAAGCTATGTAGATCCACAGCGCCGTAGGCCATGGGGATTAGTTTGGGATTTGATACCTTGTGCTTGGGTGTAGGAGGGGCGCAAGGTTCCCTGTGGCTTCAGCGATTGAGCAAACCTGTCCTTAGGTCGCCTGCCGGTCGGTTGTGCGAGTTGTCAAGTCCAGCCTGGTTGGCATGATGGTCAGCCAAGACACACATTTTGCAATTGTTTTCCTTCTCCAGGATAGCCAGGATAACCTGAAGCCATGTGATGCGTCGTACGCAAGCAACACTCTCAAAACTGGCTCAGTCATCCCAAGCTCTGGTGAACCTAGTTTTGTGTCTGTTTGTGCCAGCTAGTCTGACCTGGCAAGAAATGAAGATGCGTTCTGAAGAGGCCAACCCTTCCCTGAATCATGTGCCAACCTGGGTCAAACCCTCACCTCGACTCCTTCCCTCGGATTTTTGGCACGCAGCACGGAGGCGATCCGAAGGGCGCCCTCGGGAGCTGGGCAGTTCGTGCGATGAGAGAAAAAGACATCGCTTTCGTCGGTTTCGGTGGTTGGGGTGCCCCAGATGGGGGCGGCTCCATCTCGCTGCGGAGTGATTCTAATTGGATTCCGATAGGTTCATTTGGACCGGGGGGGAAGACCTGGGAACACATGTGTAAAATCGGACATTTGACACAAGACATGTATCAGACGGATCAGATGTATCAGAGGTCCAGATCCTTTGGTCTTAATGGATCAGAAGCCATGTTGGTTGCCCGCAATGATACTGGGACACTGGGTGCCTATCATCACAAAACAACGGTGACAGTTCACCGCGCCCGGCTGAGTAGTTGACCTCACTGCTTAACAGCCTCCGTTTCGGAAAGCGCCACTTTTTCCAATGGGATGGCAAATGTGAAGCGATGCACGCCGATGGCAAACGCCGGGACGTAGAGGGCGGTCGTCGCTCTCAGGTGGGATCTCTTCATCGGCGCGCTGATCGTTTATTCGGCCCGGACACCGAAGCGATCGGTGGGTTTCTTGGATGTTTTTCTTCGGGAGGACAGGAATAGGCAAAGCAGCTTGTCCAGCAATAGACCAGCATGGAACAAACCTGGGTGGTTCCGGAATCAAGTTGGGGTTTCACCTACTTGTACCAAGCCATATAATTAAATAACTTGATGTCCTTACCCATAGAGGTCTGGGACTTGTGGGGGCTTGGTGAGACGAGCAAGTCTTTTGCGGTTGTGAAGCCAAGCATTTTCATGTCACTGTGCCCCCTTGACTGGACAGAGGCCTACTTAGGGCTGTATAGTTGCTCGTGCTCTTGTCGGACGGTCAGCAGTCGATGGTCGGAGCTTTGGAGGAGATTTGTCTCCATGTCAGCCTTCACTGGGTACGTTTTCCCTGAAAGAATCATGGTTATGTGACGTGGATGGCACCATCTGATTGGTCGGAAAAGAATCATCACTCTCCCTTGTCTGGGGCCATGGCAGTCACTGGTTGGACTTCTCAGGTCATTGCTATCACCTACTCGGTGTCCTTCACCGCGCCGCCGGCCGGGGCGCTTAGGCTTAGCACGGGCTAAGGGGTCCCCGAGGCGGTCTGTCCGGACTTAAGGAGGTGAAGCGATCGGAGACCTGCAGAGGTTGGGTTTTTGTGGCGATTTCGGCGGTCTGGCGACAGAGCTGAACCTGTGGGGCGTCATGATCGCCATGCTGATGAAAATGATGGTTCCAGATGAATCATCTGCAGTTCGGAGACGTTGAACTGAGTTGAAAATCGCCGATCTTTTGATTCCTAAGCATCTCAAAGGATGGAGGAGCTTTCTCAAATAACTATGCACTTCAAAAGGGCGACCTACGCCACGCAACGCCATTGGAGGCATACTGTTGACCAGTGCTACCTACGACCTACGCGAACCAAGATATTTTTACTGAATCTACTGCCAATCCCAGTGGATCCTAGTTAGCACTAGGGTTTTAGTCCCGGTCTACTAGTTTAGTCTTTGGAATACCACTGCTTACTGACTCTGATGATAACTGGATCCACTGGGAACGTCGGCATTTGCCGTTCCAACTTGTTTGCGGGGTAAAACTTGCCTGAACATGAAGGTACAACCCGTGAAACACATAAGCAGGGTTGTTCCATGGGCGCGGATTGCTTGCAATTTGTGTGTCTGAGGCGACGGTCCACCTGTCCCCGTCTCAACTAGGGTTTCAACCGGTCACGTCATGTCACCGTTGTGAACGTGAACGTCTCGGGGGCCCCTCTCCGACTCTCCGTCCTCAACGGACGTCCTTTTCCGCGAGAAACAACGGCAGGGTGACACCTCAGACTCAGACTGAGTCTATTTTGAGACAGCGAGATGGCTCTGCCACCGTGGCACAGTCTCAAAATAGGGAGCACCCGCCGCGTGGGTCCCCCGGTATCCCTTGACCTTTCATCCGATTGCCGCTGGGTCTCCCTGCACCCTGCGCTCGGCATCCCCTGAGGCTCCCTTCTTTGTGGCCGTCGACGTGCGACGCCCCGGCGACCGAAGTCGTGGGACCAAAACGGACGCCACCGGAACCGTCGTTTCCGGACCCGAGATGCAGTCGCAAAGGGTTCAAAAGCGGCGCTGTTTTGAGCCTTTTGAGCCCATGATGCAGCATCCTCAGCATCGAGATGCATCTAGCATCTGCAGCCTTGCTGGTCTTGCTTGACCCAGATTTCTTCCACCAGGTGTAATTAGCACCATTGACCCTTTCGACAGAAAGGATCTGGACCGATTTTATCGACTCGCGTGACATGCACTCCATTTCAAGAACCCATTTCATGTTCTGTATTTTAAAGTTCAAGAACTCCATCGAACTCGTTTTCGTTCATCCGAAGAGCCGACACACGTGGAGACCTCTTTTTGCTCCAAATCCCTCGGCGCCCAAAATGGCGCCCAAGAAGACCTCGTCTCCGCTGAAGAGCGCCGGTGGGGCAGTGGTGGCACCCAAAGGGGTGCCTCGGCTGAAGGGGCCGAGGGAGGTGGTCCAACTGGGTGCTTCTTGGAGGTCTTGGTGAATTGGCTGATCTCAGAGTTTCAGGTGAGGTTTTCAGGTGATTTTGGTCGTTTACAGTAGATTCCTTTTTCATCCTTTCTCCACCTTTTCAACTTCTTTATTGGGTTTATCCTGCAGGTAGCTAGTTTTTTTGGGAGGCGTTTTCCTTGCTCCTTGGGGTCACTTGGAATGCAAGGAGTCCAAAGCTGAGCCGAAAGCAGCACCCAAAGCGGAGCCGAAGGCAGCGCCCAAAGCTGAGCCGAAAGCAGAGCCCAAACCCAAAGCCGAGCCTAAAGCGTCGGCACCAGAGGCAGAGGCCGGAGGGAGCTCGGGATTTTGTAACGGGTCTGGTAGAGGCGTTGATTTCCAAAGCCATGTCGGATCATAGCTTCATTTTGTGGAAGGCCAAGGGTGTCACAGATGGCAAACTTTAAGGAGCGGTGTGCAAGCCATTTGCAATGGAACTCACCAACAGGAGCCAAATGGACTACAGTACTCCTCGGGATGTTAAGCTATACTTTGGTGTTGACCCACACCCAGATGGCTTGGGTGGAGGTTGTACGCCAACAACTCCGTCCGGCTTTCTGGCTGGCAAACAATTCCGTCTCCCCGCTGAACTTCGCACCTCCAGAGGAGAAGGAAGCTCCAAAGGAGGTTCCACCCGAATGGCCCAAGAAAATTGACTTCAAGGAGTTGCCTGGTCCAATGATCTGCCGCCTCGTTGCGGCGGTACTACCCTGGGTGATAGCGATGCAACGGGAGGATAGTTGGTAGACGTCACCAGTGAAGGTGTTGGTAGGTAACAGGTAACAGCCCCTGGGAATAGGAAGAGTTGACGATCATCCATTGGTTGGGGTTCCATGCCTAGACAGACCCAATTCTACCCAACGGATTCATCTACACCAGCAGAGGCGATATCTAGGATGCAGGATGTTTTCCAGCTGTTGCTCATAGTCTCCTCGATAATCTCGATAGGTTCTGTGTTTGAAGCTGCGCACTGTAGCCGGGAACTACTGTACTTGCATGGTTCCCAGTAACACGTCAGGATTTGGCATTATATTTATACAAGTGTTATATACAAGGTTGTGTTCCTGAAAGCACACGATCGTATTTTTCAGTTTTAGGGAAGTGTGCAAATGAAAGCCACACAGAGGTATTTCTGTAACATCCACGAGGGTCTTTCGACGGCAGAACACGGGCCAACAAAAACAGCCATGTTTGGCCAACTTTGAGACACCTTCTTTTTGAACACAACACATAAATCGCTTCAGCGATCTGACTTTGCGGTCTGCCCTGTCCAAAATGAGAACATGTGGAGGTGAGCCATTAACAAATCATGAGTGGCAAGCACTGCAAGCAACAGGGGCTTCAATGTTGGGATCAAGCGAAACTTGCGGAAACAACGGGTTTTTGTCATTGTGCGTATCTCTGCTCCATCGTGACTTCCACAGTAGACATGACAGCATCTGCAACCCCACGCTGCTTTGAAGAAGTGCTCAACTTTGCGCAATGCGAAGCATATCGAGACATGCTCCAAATTCCCAATGTCAGCAAGACCCAAAGAACCCAGCGGCAAAGGCGGGCCCTAAGTGCCTGTAATCCTCGAGGCAGGCAGTAGTGTCGTGAAATCTGCAGCAGAACCAGCACCCAAGCTCCCAAGCGCACCCTGCAGCGGCACCCAACCTCTCAACTGCACACAGCAGCGGCACCCTACAGCGGCACCAGCATGCAAGCTCGAAAGCACAAACATGCAGCTCTTCCTATACTGCACGGCTCCTTGCACGCCCAGATTGGGCTAGAGCTCTGCTAGAGCTCTGTAGGCTCTGTAGTGTGCAGGCCCGAGGGTCCGGAGGAGGGGTAGATTAATCTAGCCGGCACACATAGGCTGGGAAAGTGCAGGCGGCAAGCTAGACCAATGCATGATACCTCACAAAACGCGATGCATCGCCAGCCCACAAAAGCCAGGCAGGAAAGTAGCCCCCACACTGAAAGCCAGGCAGGAAAGTAGCCACCGCATGAAACCAAGCAGGAAAGTAGCCACCACGCTGACTCATGCGTCGGAGGAAATTATATACAGCAATTCAGGATCTTGATTATCAATTGAGGGGTGCGCAACCTCTCCACAACCTCTTGTTTATTTCTACACAAGGAGCATGCTAATTAATTTCATTCCCCGAATTAGGTTTCCACCACAATGTCCGACAAATTGTGGGAGAAGAACTAATATTTGATAACTTTTAACTGCTGGGCCGCCCCCCTCAATTAATGAGCTACTGGGGTTAGAGCTGCATGTGTGCGTTTGCCAACTTGGGTGCTGGTGCTGCTGCAGGGTGTCGCTTCTCTCTCTCTCTCTCTCTCTCTCTCTCGCGCTCGCTATGGCGAGGAGCTAAGCCGAGAGCGCTAAGCCGAGAACCCAACTCACTCACTCGCTCACCCCCACCCCACACCCCTCCACTCCACACTCCACACTCCTCCACTCCACACTCCACACTCCTCCACTCCACTCTCCCCTCCACTCCACTTCACTCTCCACTCCACTCCACTCCACTCCACTCCACTCCACTCTCCACTCCACTCTCCACTCCACTCTCCACTCCACTCTCCACTCCACTCTCCACT